GGGAGTGTTTTTTTTTTTTCTATCGCTCGTAACTGTTTGGGTTGACCTTGGACTGCGGGTTGATTCATATAAACTTTAAGGGCTTTTATGCAAAAGTACTAATAACGGACGACCAGAAGGGATAGCTGCTTTATTAGTAGGTAAAGATAAAGATTTTGCCGACTATTTGTTCAAACTTGACAACTTCTTAAGTATGCAAACTCATATACCCCCCACCCCCACCCCCCAAGCTAATGTGGGATTCTCCGGCCCATATACTATTTTGAAAATCGAATGAAATACATAGGGGCATCATGCTCAAATTAATGCGAATCTCAGACTCCCGGTATAGTGAGCACATTCTCAGTTCTCACATTTACAACCCATTATATGTGCATCTCATATTATGTCGCTAAAAAAATCGCGCCGGCACATTCCTACGATCAACACCTACAGTCCAATTACACTATTGTTTCGGTTTGAAGAGTACCCCAACTGCGAACGCCTAAAAAATAGTGATCCATCAACATACACTACAACACATGATCAAAGATGGCATGGATGCTACAATGTGTCACCAAAAGAGGTCTCTTTTAGAACATGACACCAAATAAATTGTCCACAAAACTTGTTTCAATTCAGTGGCACGTAGCAAAAGAAAGAACAAATTATGCGGTCTTGAGTTGTATTTCGGCCCATAAAAGTGTCATCGTGTCTTTTGACCAACAAAAGCACATAAGCGAACTTGCACTCACCCCGATGGACCATGCACACAGAGTACCTCTATAAACTTCTCCGAGAGGCTAGGGCGACAAATCTTGAGATTGACGGTCACCACGTGTCCATAAGGGCACGTCGTCTCCCACTGAAAAAAAATAACACAAAAAATTAGAGTAAATGCAAGAAATCTAAGCACTCGTGCCAAATCTAAAACTTGAATCTGGATTCAAATATTCCACCACAAGAAATATAATCAATAGTGAGTCGAGTTGCTTAATTTTCATGCAAAAACAATCCCAGTCGACACCTTTTTACATCCAAGGGTCTTGGAGTTATTAAAAAATTTAAATGGGCCAAGCAACTAAAGATTGTACAATAGAGGACAAATCAAATATATTATGAGCATCCATATCTTCAGAGAGCGGCGATTCGATACCCAGGTTCATTTACTCCTGTCCATGAATAGTGTAGGCATACAAGATGCTCGGATGTGTCAGGAGCGTATAAATTTTCATTTTTATGGTCAAATGACATCCTAACACAAACACTTTTAAGATGCGTTTATACTACGTAGAAACGTAGATGTTTTTTCTTTTGCTAGAAAAAAAAAGCTCACATATACCTACGACACGTGTCAACGTTGGGCGGGGAACTCTCTAGAAGCATTCACGTGACCTCCCCAAGACGGCGAGCTCGCGACAAAATTGAGGTGACCCCACGCCACCAGCAGCAGCTAACATTTTGCTCGGTCAGGCAAGACGTACGTGGTGGCCGGCGCAGCCCTGGTCCCAGCTGCACCGCCCGGCCGTTGCGTCGTGACACCGTTCGACCTCAACATCACACCGGTTTCCGGCTCTCGGACGGTAGGGCGCTAGCCAGGGCCAGCAGCGGCAGCGCGCTCGTGACCGCCCGTGGGCCGGCCGGCCGGCCGGGTGCCTGGCTCCGCGTGAACGCGGATGCCGGAATAGTTTGCCTGCTACGTTCGTGGCAGTGGCTCCACCGTCCATGGCGCAGAAGCTCAGAGGCGCAGTCCGAATGTCCGACCGAGCCGGCACGGTGCTTCTTTCTTCTACGCGCCCGTGACTACGTTCCCCGCGCGGCCGCGCCTGCGCAGGTGACCGTGCGACGTCCACTCGGTCTTGTGGGCCATGTGGCCGGAGATCTGCTCTCGCTGCACAGGCACAGCGGGGTTCACGTGTGTCCCCTCCAGGCACAGCGGGGTTCAAGTATCCGGTGCTCCCTCCCAGCCTTAGGGTACTCCCGTACTTCAAATGTTAGTAAATATTTTTTTAATGTTTTAAAAATTTCGCAAAAAATTATGAATGTTCACAATCAATGTGAGTACAAACCCTAAAAATTTCAGGTCCAAACTCGAATCACACATTGAGAAACAAAAATGTGAAATCTAGCATGAATAGTGTAAAGAATAGACAAAAGGTAAACGTTTCGGGCCGGAGCGCCGGCCGAAGCGCTCCGCCGGTTCGCTCCCGCTGGCTTTCTATTTTCACGCGCGAGACAGGCTGGCAACGCATGCTTGGTGGACCCAAATGTTTTCTTTCTCTATTTTTTTCTTTTTCTCTCCTTCTTCTTCCTTCCGCTTCTGTCTGATCTCATCCCATCTCCTGCAGTACGAACTCGCCGGCGTCAGCGGCACGACCCCCTGCTGCTTTCACGAACGCCACCTATCTGCCGTTGCAAGCATCTCCTCTCCCAAACAAAACCCAAAAGTTTTTGCTCCTCCATCGATGCTGCAATCGGCGACCCAAAAGCTACAACCAACGACGACAAAAGCTTCAACCAGAAGATGCCGGCGCACCACCGGAGAGCAGCGGCCGCGTCCTGCGATGGAGCAAGCCACAACCTGGAGCTGCGATAGGGGCTCACAGGAAGTTGCAACCGGCAACCAAGTTTGCTGGAACCGGCGGGGAGTTTTGCTGGAACCACCCCCAAAAATGCTATCACCAGAGTTCGTCCTGCTAGAACATCGACATTTTTGCTACAACCGTAGCCTCTGTTTTTGCTACCACCAGTGACTTTTTTGCTACATGCATGCACTCCGGTGTTGGCCGACGGTGGCGATGCATTTTTTTGCTGCAACCGAAATGCTACCATCGCTTTTGGTTTTTGCTGGAACCGACGCCCACATTTGCTACCATCGGCTTTTGGTTTTGCGCTGAAAAACAGATCGTTTGATGCAAATCCATCTCCTGGTCACTACTTCCGTCAGTCGTTGTGGTAGCAAAAAAGCTCGCCGGTAGAAGCTTTTTGTCTTGTCGGATGCAACAAATGAGGCGGCCGCCAGCGTCGCCACAGAAAACACTCCAGCCGATGCACCAAAACTATATGCTGGTTCTAGCTTTTTATTTGCCGGTTGTAGCTAACAAGAAACTGGTGCTGCAATCGACGGTGACGGTCGTCGATGATTTCACGCGTAAGTGGGAAATGCTTCAACCAGCATAGGAAAAGCTTCAACAGGCATGAGGGAAAAGTTTCAAACAGTGGAAGAAAACTTCAACCATGAAAAAGCTTCAACTTGGTGGTGCAAAAGCTTCAAGCGACGGCGGAAAAAGCTTCAAGCGGCATGGGAGGAAAAGCTTCAACCTGCGAAAAAGCTACAACCATAGTGTGTGGGAGTTGCAACCGTGAACTATTTTTGCTGGAACCGGTGACCACGGCGAGCGAGAGGTGACCATGGCGAGCACGACGGTCACCGCGGCGAGCGGGAAACCCCCGGTGAGCGGGAAACCCCCGGTGAGCTGGGACTCTGGTCAGGAGGTGCTGCAACCCGTGTCTCTGTGTTCTGGAACTGCTACTACGGCGAGCTGCGAGGTTGGATCAGTGTTTTTATGCTGGAACCGTGGCTGCCTGGCGAGGATGGCAAGCAGCGGCTAGCCTGGGAAAGAAGTGGAAGGAAGCGGTGGCAAGCAAGTGGCGGCGAGCCGGCGCGGGATCGTTGGGGTGGATACTACGGGCGCTGACAGGACGTGGAAAGAAGTGGAATGCGAGAGACGGGGGAAGGAGAGGATGCGGAAGGCAGATCAGATGGCTGTGCTTCGCTGCATCGGGCGGCTATGGTGCGACCGGCCCAACTATTGGGCCGGCGCACCGGCGCCTAATACTGCCCTAGACAAAAGCAAGATTGACACTATTCAAATATGTATTTCTCTTTTTTGTTTCTCAATGTACATTTCGATTTTGGACCTAAATTTTTTCGAGGATGTAGTGACATTCTTTGTAAACATTCTCATTTTTTCCGGATTTTTTTGAAACATTTAAAAGTATTTTTTGACATTGGAGCACTGGAAGTACCCCAAGGCTAGAAGCACTGGATACTTTCCCCTTCCCGGTTCGCCGCACCAACTATATTTCAGCGAGATGGTAGAGAACCCTCACTGAAGCATCTACAATACTTGGGTCGACCCATCTTAAAGAAATTAAAAGGGGGGGGGGGACAATAGGGTGTTGATCCCTGTTCTCCCAGGGAGATCGCCGAGGCTGGTAGCCACTCCACCTACTTCTCATTGGTGGGTAGCTATAGCAATGTGGTCTACGCGACCGGAGCTAGTTTTTTTTCCTGTTTTTCTTTTCCGATCTTCAATTCTTTTTCATTCTTCTCTATTTTTTCTTTCTTTTTGCATTTTTTCTTCTTAAATATTGTTTCTTTTGAATTACTTACTTTCTTTTTTAGTTTAAAGTTTTTTGGTTCTCATTGGTCCTTTCATTTTCATTTGACATTTTTTGTATGTCACAATATTTTTCTAATACACGTTTAACATTTATCCAATACACATTTAATATTTTTAAATCTATGGTCAACATTTTTTCTATAACAAAATTTTAGCATTTATTGAAATGTTTAATAAATATTTTCTGGATACATGATCAACATTTTTAATAATGTTTTAAATGCTTGATTAACAGTTTTCAAATAAAAAAATTAACATGTTTTGAATACATGGTCAACATTTCTTATATACATTTTAACATTTTCCAAAGGCTTGATTAACATTTTTCAAACACTTGTTCAACACTTTTTCAAATGCTTCATTAACATTTTCATATACAAGATAAAAAATCGTCATTTTCTTAATACATGGTAAAAAATACACATTTAACATTTTTTAAATGCTTGATTAACATTTTTTAAATGCTTGATTAACATTTTTCAAATGCTTGTTCAACATTCTTTTTCAAATGTGTGATTAACAATTTTATATACATGATCTACATTATTTAAATTATTTGTTCAACATTTTTTAAATTTTTGTTCAACAAATTTTCAAATGCTTGATTAATATTTTTATATACATGATCAACATTTTCTAAATACTTGTTTAACATTTTTCAAATACTTGTTCAACATTTTTCAAATAAACGTTCAACATTCTATTTCAAATGCTTGATTAAAAAATTTATATACATGGTCAACACTTTTTCAAATCCTTGTTCAACATTTTTAAAATACTTGGTCAACCTTTTTCAAATGTTTTGTGTGTGTGTGTGTGTGTGTGTATATATATATATATATATATATATAGTGTTACTATTCATCAAACCAGGGTGCAGAATAAGTTATTCTTTACCCGAGGTAATCTTATGATCATTTCATAATTAAATTACATTTCGAATTCAAATAGTTACATTCCTATTGATTCACTACGTAAAATTTGACATAAGAAAATAAAAATATAGGTCATAAGACAAGAAAATTTGTAGTTTATGTATATTTTAGACTATGTTTTTATGTTTGTAATTTTACATAACATAAAATATTTTTTACGGCGATTATATATTTTCTTACAGTCCCTTTTTGCGTCGGAAATAAGACAAAACTTACGGAACGTAAATTTACGATGCATTGATGGTAAAATAGAGGGGGTGAAGAATAACTATGCCTCACCCAGGGTGACGAATAGCGCGACCCTATATATATATATATATATATATATATATAATAATTTAAAGTATAAAAAAGTACAAGAATAAAGCAAAAAACAAATCAGAAAACAAGAAAAAACAGGAAAAAGAGGTTGTGGCCTCCCGTTGCGTGGGCCGGTCCAACTCGCCCGCCCCTTCAATGAGTCAGAAGCTAGACTCGCTGAAGGAGAGAGATAGGGGAGCCCCCGGTTCGCAGGGAATAGGGCGCTTCTCTCGGAACACAATTAGGCACTTGGGCTGCCATCGCATTTTTTAGGGATGGGCTGTCATAAAGAGGACATAATAAACCATCGAGCACCAAGAGCAACTAATTGAGGAGTACTCCTTCGGGAGCCCCCCAAGGGTCACTTAGGATGGGCTTGGAGCGCTGTAGGATCATAAGTAGGTCTAGTGGGGGTGATTAGACTACATGACCAAATAAAAACCCAACATTTTCCCAATTTTAGTTGTAGGCAAGTTTTAGCAACAATCACAAGTCAATCAACACCCTAGACATGCAAGTCTATATTGTAGGTAGTAGAAAGTAAAGACTTTGCATATGAACATAAAGGAGAGGATCGGAGATATCAAACACAATGAAGACACGATGATTTTTTGCATGGTTCCGATAGGTGGTGCTATCATACATCCACGTTGATGGAGACTTAAACCCAGGGAGGTTATTGGTTGTGCGAGTCCACGAAGGGCTCCACCCACAAAGGGTCCACGAAAAAGCAACCTTGTCTATTCCATCATGGCTTATGCCCACGAATGACTAGCCTCACTCGGGGTAGATCTTTCCGAACTAGGCAACCTCCTTGCCCGTACAAACTCCTTGGTTCAACTCCACAAGCTTGGAGGCTCCCAAGTGACACCTAACCAATCTAGGAGACACCACTCTCCAAAAGTTAATAGATGTTGTTGTTGATGAACTCCTTGCTTTTGTGCTTCAGAAGATAGTCTTCTCAACACTCAATCACACTCACAGATTTGGCATGGTGATGGGAGAAGGATTGGAGTGGAAAGCAACTTGAGGGGGCTAGAAATCAAGGATCAAATAATTAGGGTGGAGTGCCTTGATCTGAACACAAGTGTAGGTGGTTCTCTCTCAGAAAATGGATATGGGAGGTGTAGTTTCATCCTGGTTGCTCTCTCTGAGATTAGGTAGTTGATACGTCTCCAACGTATCTATAATTTTTTATTGTTCCATGCTATTATTTTATCCATCTTTGA